ACTGTTCCCAATAAGCTGATTGCTAGCAAAGTAGCAGATAGAAAACCTACTGGGAAATTTTTTTATGGTCATGTCCACAGCAAATGAGAAACTGCATTCTAAAAGCCTTGGTAATGACCATTATACCCTTGAGCAAATAACTTATGGTTAAGATAAAAACCATTACTTGCCATAATTACTTTGGCTTCTGTCATCTCCTTTTAATATGGGTATACTGATGAAGACTTCAAAATTCACCTATGGAAAAATGTGAATTTCAAATTTATATTTATTAAGTACAGAAATCTATCTTTCCGAATGAGGTTGCTTAGGTTCCAAATTATCCTAAAACCTGGCACCCCAACTAAGGTATTAAAAATTCCATGCTTAAAATAGCTATTTAAACCAAGAGGTATTTTTTTAAAACAATGATCCCATGCCTGTTCACATCCGAATTTTCTCTATGATCATGTTTCTGGTTAACTTTTACCTTCAAATACAATGGAATATTTAATGTAAATGGATGTTCAGAAAGGCCATTTTCATTCAGCCCGTTCAGAGCAGTTGAACATTTCGCCCATCATCATAACATCGTTAATAATCAAGTTTAAACACGTAATAATGTAAGTCTAGTCTTTTTTTACTCCTAAGTGGTGACAAATGTTGCAATAGCATTACTAGATAAATAAATATAACCTAAAATAACACTTGGAGAAAAGCTAGTATTCAACAAAATAACCTGCGTGGCCTTTTAAGTAATGAAGTAACTTACCAAGAATCTTTGGGATCTAATTTCTTCAACCAATTTACTTTAGGGTCCTAGAAGTTGAATTGTACAAAGTACAAATATTTTGACACCTGATCCAAGACACAGTCATGTACATTACAATGTTTCAGTCAATAGATAGCATACAAAAGAAAGTGGTCCTATTAAGAGCTGAAAATTCCTTATTACCTAAATAATAACATAGAAACTTAGAAGTAACATATAGAATAACACAGAAACATACCGAAATAATATCGAAATAATAACAAACAATAGAAACTTACTGTTTCTAATATTGAAAAGTCAACATTTTTCTCCCACATATTTTACTCATAAGCATGGCAAAATGTTACAGGTCTCATTGTCACCACTGCAATATGCATACTGTGATGGAAGCATAACCTGTCTCAATGTAGCCACATTAACTATTTTTGGACACCATGATGATCAACAGTGCCCATTCTCATCTAGAATGAGGCATTGTAGAAGTTTCTTTAAAGCTTAGTAGTGTATTTGTACGAAGTCCTTGTTACGCTGGCAATGCTACCAATAGAGGGAAACAAGCAGAATCAATATTAACAGAGAATCTTACCTTTTGATTGTAGGTGGTGGGGATCTGCCTGGTTCTCAATTTGACACCCTGGAAAAAGAAAAGCATTGCTTACTATTTTAGAGTATATCAAACTGAACACTGAGGAACCTATACAAATACTGTATCAATAGAAATACCAGGTTTAACAAGCACAAAGCCAAGAAAACCAACGATGCCAGATACTGAATTTCTATAGCACTGACCTTTGAACACCCTAGCAGGAGTAAACTGCTGAGTGCAGATACCATGCAGTGCAATTATGACTGAACTGTCACATTCATATTCATATTCGTATTCCCAAATGTGCAATGTTTCTACTGAGAAATGCTTTCACAAACCTCTCAAATTCAAGTTCCTTTAACAAGTACAATAATTTGACCTTTTTTTCTAATTGTCACTGTAATAAGCTGCATTAACTGTATTTTAAGCTACAACTCTAGTCTTTTCCTAATCTTTGCCCAGTCTATATAACTTACAGATGGAATATATACATGTAACTTAACAGATCAAGCAGACTACAAATGTCAAGCTCACTGTTGCTCAAACTGCCAGTTACACAAACCTCTTTTAATGTAATTCATATCCCTATTGATTCAACATATCCATACAGGTTTACGTGACTTTAGGATGAAGTATGTGTAACTGCCAGTTCAATAACAATGCAAAGAACACAGGTAATTTCATTTGGTAGGTCTAGACATGCAGTCTCTTCATTTTCCTTCTCTATACAAATATATAGTAACATTTTTGCCAGTATCTTACTAATTCTGTGTTATACCTGAAATACTGGGATGGTGTACTTAATTTCTATTTTTCATCTTTTGAGTCCTTGATTATTAAAAGTTAAATATTTTACTTACCTCTCAACATGAATGAGTTCAAATCACATTCATTCCTATAGAAAGTACCAATTAAAGATTTAGAAAGGATATATTTCCAGTTATTAAAACTAATACCCAAGTATAAATTTAAGATCCAGTTTTATATAGCCACATCCAGCTCTGTCAGAATTAAGTTTTAGTTCATGCCCTTATCATTCAGCAGTTGAACAGTTAAATTCATCATCTGAACTGTAATCATATTTCCCAAAAGATTATACTGTCACCAATTAAAACTTACCTAAGCGATCACTCAAGAATGGTACAGATGTGTGGTATATGCCAATACCTAAGGTAAAAAAGTAGATTATCTGGTTTTTCATAACGTTTAGTAACTGTCTTTTTCAAACTTTTAGCAACTGTCTTGTAGTTCCTTCCCACAGATCTAACAATAGTCCTGTGAGTAAAGTAAAACCACAGAGTTACTCTATGAGGCGTTTCCAACGACGTGCAGGCTACAGGAAAAGCCCCATCGGGATAGACCTCAACCACTATTTACAAGGTTTTGATTTTTTTTTTAAAGACACAGGATCTGCCGTGTCTTTTGAAAATCGTGTGATTCTTGCTGAATCGCTTGAGCCCAAGGGTTTGAGGCTACAGTGAGATGTGGCAGGATCACATCTCATTGTAGCCTCGAACCGCTGGACTCAAGGGATTATCCTGCCTTAGCCTCCAGAGTAGCTGGGGACCACAGGCACCACTGTGCCCAGCTAGTATTTATATATATAAATAACAAAGTCTAACACTCCATAGGAAAAAATTATGAGCAGAAACTGCAATATGCTCTTACAATATTGCAAACTGTAAAAACTTCCTACCACCTTAATCACAAAAACAGTAATTTCACAATCACATTGTGCTTAGGAGCCAGAGGAATGAAAAATAAAAATAAATACCATCAAGTAGCTCCTGTAGATGAGCCAAAGGAAAAGGATTTAAACTTCAGATTTAAGTTTAAAGCATAACTGTTGTTATGAACTTCAATACTGCAAATAGAGGATGTTGTTTTCCCATTTCAAAGATTTCAACAAATTTTAATTCTTGGCTCAAAATTAGTTGTCATCCATTATAAAATACAGGAAAATGTGCCTGTAAGTTATGACTTTGGCATTATATAACTTTTAATCAAACTCTGCATCATTCAAATTTATGAATTCTTATGACCTATGTAATCTTTTATTATACTATATCTTGCATTAAACCATAAAATCCTCTACCTCACTTTAGATTGTACATTAATACAAAATAATGTTGTAGGCTTCAAGTAGGAATTCCAAAGTTCTGATTATTGCTACAAACTAACAAATTCAGAACCCTCTAATGCTTGCAACTAAAATGAATCTGACACATCACTAAGAAGAATCTAGGATTCTTCTTTTCAGAAATCGATATAATTGGGAATTAAAAGTATGGTAGAAATGTCTCTGAATAAAATGAAACTTGCTTGCTCTGACAACATACTGTTTCCCACACATAAATATGTGGCAACTCAAATTGAGACATACCTTTAACTCCAGACATCATGTTCTCAATAAAAGCCTTTAAAACAAAAAGCCATCATATATATCGTCAACATGAAATTGGAATGCAAAATTAATACTGCTGAGGATTTCCCTCATATCCCATGCTCTTTATCTATTCTACAGTCCTAGAATCAACCTTTTTTTCTTAAGAGACAGGGTCTGTCTTTGTTACCCAGGCTGGAGTAGTGATGCCATCAAAGTTCAGTGCAGCCCCCAATTCTTGGGCTCAATCCTTTTGCCTCAACCTCCCCTTTCTGAGTAGCTCCAACTACAGGCACATGCCCCAATACCCAGCTAATTTTTCAATTTTTGTGGAGATGCCCAGGCTGGTCTTGAACTCCTGGTTTCAAGCAATACTCCCACCTCAATGTGGGGACTACAGACTTGAACCATTGCACCTGGCCTGGAACCAACCTTTATAACTGTCTCAGGTATCATAATATCCCTTCTTATATGTATCAAAACTCATACTGAACAATGAGTTCTGGGTTGCAAAAGAGGATTTATTTTTTGCACCTATCCATAAGTCTTTGTCCACATTAAACAAAAACATACGTTAAGTGCAGTCCTAAAATGCACTACATAGAGTAGTCAGCTTTATCGTGGTGATCAAAATAATGAACACTGGGGTAATCACTGTGGTCCTCCCTGTGTGTACATGTTAAATAAATGTGTATGCCTTTTCTTGAACTAATAAAGTGAAAATGGTAGTTCAAAGTAATATTAGTCCAGGTGCCGTGGCTCACGCCTGTAATCCCAGCACTTTGGGAGGCCAAGGCAGGCAGATCGCCTGAAGTCAGGAGTTCAAGACCATGGTGAAACCCTGTCTCTACTAAAAATACAAACATTAGCTGGGTGTGGTGGCTAACGCCTATAATCCCAGTTACTCAGGAGGCTGTGGCAGAATTGCTTGAACCTAGGAGACAGAGGCTGCAGTAAGCCAAGACTGCACCACTGCACTACAGCCTGGGTGACAGATCAAGAACTGTCTTTAAAAAAAAAGAAAAAAAGTGTTAAAGATACTCTAAATTTGGGAAGGGAAATGAGGTTATTACAATACTAAACATCTGACAGGTCACTTTTGTCATGTCTGAACAAAGCTGGAATAAGAGCATTTCAAATACCCTCTTCAAGATGGTTGGGTGTCAAGTTATTTTGTCTAAGATTTTCTTTTCAAAATTAAAATCACTACACTTCACTGTTTTAATACTCACAGGACACCTGTAAGCTCTTATTCAGAAATCAACTGACAATTTTTCAAATTTTTCTATGTATTTTCTCTGGTGTTTTAATGGTTTTTTCCTCTAATTATTACTACTTCACAAGTTTCTTTCACAAACTTCTTCACAGGGTTGAAATTTTTTTTGTTATAAAGTTCTGGGTTTCAGCATTTCTTCACCACCAGACTGGTATATATATCTCCACATTTATCATCTTTATTCATTTCTATGAAGTTGTTTTTTCTATATGCTTCACCTTTGACATTCATGATCCTGTCACATTTTCAGGGCTCTCTGTCCAGTATTTTTGGCTTTTGTAGCTCTCTTTTTAGACAAAGCAGCTTCTTCAGTACTATCCTCTTCTTCTAAGTATACACTCAGTCTTACAGGGAATTCAGAACTTACTATGAAACTATCCCCCTGCATAAAACAAACAAACAAAAAAATCATGGATTAAGCAATAACTCAAATGGCTTAGTAATTACATATAGCTGAGTGCCCTGGATTACTTCAGATAACCGAGAGACTACATGTAGATGTTAAAAATCTAAATTAACATCTGCTTATTTTTTCATTTGATATCCTAACTAGCAATATTACGTATCAGAATGCTATTTATTAAAAATAGTACTGGAAACCCCATGTTCTTTATCAAGTCTCTAAAAAATTAGTATTTTCCTTCCTGCATTTCCTGCAGCAAACTTACTGAGCTTTTCAAAAGTTAAATGAAGTGTAAGAGAAAAACTAAACACAATTCCTTCTGTACCAACCAACTCCTGCCTTCCCAAAATGGAACAGAAAAAAAGTCACTTACTGCCAATTTGATATCACATTCATTATCTTCAAGATGTTTTGCATCCTCATCCTCTGCTCTGTAACATTAAAATTTATCATCATTGAGATGACAGAATCTTCTATGACCTCATTAGCTGTATATTCCACTCTGAAAACTGAAACTGCAATACTAGTCAAGCAAACAAAATTTGAGAATGCTGTGTTCTAGAGAATTCTAGATGTATTGTGTGCTAAGCTTGGCTCAACTGTAATAATCCCAAGTGTCATACTCTATCTTTGTTCATTATTTAAGTATAACTATATTAAAGGCAAAATATGAAGCAATTAACATAAAATTTAATTTATAACCTATTTCATATGATTCCACTTACGCTGACTCCTCAATAGGAGAAATGGATCCATCATCATCCAAAAATTTGTATCTACGACTATCAAAATCTTCATTTTCTAAATCTTCACCAACATCCATTTGTTTCAATGATTCTTTCAGGTGGTGTTCATACTTCAGTTTTTCAATGTAGTTAAAAAATCCTCTTGCAACAGCTTGCTATATATTAAAAACACCATATGTATGTCAAGATTTTTCTTTCACAACCCAGCAAGTGCCAATTTTCAACAACCCCCTTACCAAAGACTCTGAATTTGCTATCTTAACTACTCCCCACTTGTGGATATATCAAATGCTGTTTATTAAAATTCACATTACAATTATAAACTTACCTAAGCTGGTACCAAGGAAAAGTGAAGTACTACATATCTTGTCATGCCTGGGACTTACTAAAGGCATTTTAAAATGTAAAAACGGGAATAAGATTTCTAATGTTTAATCACCTTAAGAGATTAACTGAAGAGATTAACATGTATTAATCCTCCCAGATAAAATTTCAGGTTCTGGCAAGAACCTGAAACTCTGCATTCATTCAACATACAACTCTCAAATATTTAAAAAAGTCTACTCCTAAGTATTAGGGTATTTTTCAGATGACTGGCTTAGAAACACCTAGGCCTTAAGAATATCCACTGAACATAAGGCATGTGTGGTTTTGGTTTAGGTTACTGCAAAAATAATTTCATGTGAGCTTTTATTATCCCTACTGAGTTTTAGGGTTGTGTTTAAGACCTGAGATGGGATGAGATCAAAGCATTTTATACAAAGAGCCTTGGAGCACTATCTTTTAAATCTGGCCAAAGTAGTAATTGAAGAGATACAAGTCAAGTTTCAGTTAAAGGATGGGGTGGACTTTAGGGGGAAGTCAGTATAGAAGAGTATCGAAATTGCAGACGTGTGTTCCCAGCATATCTGAGACAATTCTAAACTGGCCAACAAATCATTTTGGGCATCTGACTTATGTGTAGCCATATATATAAAATGCTGACTCACCTCAAACGTTAAAATTTTTCTCCAAGGTGGGTTTTTTTCATTCTCTGATTCTAAAAACGGGAATCCAGATCCTTTGCTTCTAAACTGTTTCTTCTTATCTATTAGTGAGGATATAGGATTTCTCCTTCCTTCTGGTCTTCCCCTTGGTCTTCCTGTCGGCTGGTACCTCTTCTTTTTCTTTTTTTTGTACTTCTTTTTCCTGTTCTTGAATCTTTCAAAAATAGCTTTTATAGTCAATGGTATTGGTTCAAAAGATGAGTCACTTGATGAATCACTTGCGTGAACACTTTCAGGTGTACGAACAAATTTTCGATTGGGGTTTCTTTTCCCCCGTTTAGGTGAGTAAGGGATACACTGAGTTTTAAATAAGCTGCTGTCAGAAGAGTTATCACTAGAAAAATGAGAAAAAAATTAATTTCCTCTTCCTTTCTTACTGAATGCTTATTACTAGTAATACCCAGTCCCAAATGTACATTTCTTCCAAGACCAACTCAGGAAAACATATCCAGAATTAAAAATTTTTTAAAGGATGGGCTCAGAACCAGCTGCCTTTCTGCTGACCATCCTACTTAAATAGCTCATAAAGCTACAGCTCTTATTAAAAAGAGTTTTGTAGACGTCGTCTTGCTGTTACCCAGACTGGAGTAGTGGTGCAATCACAGCTCACTGCAACCTCAAACTCCTGGAACTCCAGGGATGCTCCTGACTCAGCCTCCCAAGTAGCTAGCTAGGACTAATGGCATGCACCACTGTGCTCAGCTTAGAAAAAAACTATGTATCTTTCAAGATAAGGTATGAGCTCCACAAAGGCTGTATGGTTCGGTTCACTGCTAAGAGTGAGTAAAACAAACACAGCCTACCAGACAGAAACAGGAAGAGGTAGTCTGGAAGAGATGCTAATATGACCCAAAGAATACATTTTTTTCTTGAAGAATGTGTCCCATTATAATATATTCACATTTTGAATTTAAAGTATTTGCAATGCTATTATCAATCTACATTAATTAGATAAACTTGGAAGGTCAGTGAAATCTGGTTTTCCTTCTTTCCCAATTCCTGAAAATCATCTTTACTGTCACTCATTATATACAATAATTTCTCATAATTCAGATACAATAAATATGATTGAATTCACTCAGTTCTCCAGTAAAAACCCACTTACCTTTGATTTGCAAGTTCCATAGCATCAGATGTCACATGGTCAGGAGAATCTATTCCTGATTTATCCATCAGTTGCTTTGTTTTATAACAGTTTTCTGAAATTATGAAATTTAGTAAATGTGACAAAGCTTCCCTAAATATTGACAAAGTATCTACTATAGTATTCAACATGGTCAGACTATGCCACTGGTTTTAGGTAAAATCATTTGCCGGGGTTAAGCTTCTTATCCATTTCAGATCAATTTCTTTAAAAATAAATCCAGAAATTCTATTCACAGGTTCTTTCAGTTTTTACCCTCTAATTGTATTCAATGGAACAAGATTCCAAAAAAGTACTGTCACTTCCAAAAAAAGCATCTTTCAATATAAGCAGAAAATAGTTTTATCATTAGCCACTTACTAACGTGCAATTACCAATACAGTATTAATGTAAAATTAAAAACCATTTTCCAAGATCAAAGAGGGAATTCCTAAGGCAAAATGTGCCCTATATAAACCAGGAAAAGGATCTCCAATCAACAGACCATTTTAAACTCCTGATCACCTCTCCATTATAATTCCTAGATTCTTCATTCCTAGATTCATTTAAGTAACTGAACTTTGTCATACTGTATCTTTGCCATTATTGGTGGAAACTGACAAGTTCTGAATTCTCAACCTTTTTCAATAAACTATCATAATTCTTTGTGTTTTCATCCCCATGGTAGAGAGTATACAACATGCCAAAAAAAGAAAAAGATTCCTTCTTGTGAGCTAAAAGAAAAAACAAAAACAGGTTGGTCTGGGTGGCTCAGGCCTGTGTAACACAGCACTTTGGGAGGTCGAGGCGGGCGGATCGCTTGAGCCCAGGAGCTCAAGACCAACCTGGACAACGTGGTGAAACTCCGTCTCTACAAAAAATACAAAAATTAGCCGGGCTAGTGGCGCGCGCCTGTGGTCAGGAGGCTGAGGTAGGTGGAATACCTGAGCCTGGGAGGTGGAAGTTGTATGTAGTGAGCCTCAGCACACAAGGAGACCCTTGTCTCTACAAAAAAATTCTTAAGATACTGGCTAGGTGTGGTGACCCGTGCCTGTGCTCCCAGCCACTCGGGAGGATCGCTTGAGCAGAGGTGGAGGTTGCAGTGAGCCGAGATTGCACCACTGCACCCCAGCCTGGACGACAGAACAAGACCCTGTCTCAGAAAAAAAAAAAAAAAAAGAAAAAACAATAGGCATGGCAACAAAAATTAAAGATAACTACTTATTTCACTATTGTACTTGCCTTAGTCAATCTCTTGTCTCATTCTGTAGCTTCTTGGGACCTAATATGAGTCATTGCATATAAATCCTAGAATGAACTAGCAAAATATTTAAAATATAAAACGATAAGGTTACCAAGAGCTCAGATTTGTTAAATGCCCAATGGACCCCTGTGGTAATTTTCTGGTAGTACGTCTTATTAGCTTTCTTAAGTACAAGATTCTACGAAGTCATTATATATCGAATGCTCAAAAACGGAATTCAACAAAAATTTGGCCCCATGCATTAATGGTATACCTGTGGTTAATTTTTTTTTAAAGTAGGGATTATCAAAATAAAGCTAGCTCAAGAATCACTTTTTTCTTAGTGTTTAGAAGACACTCCTACTTGGGTGTCGATGCCTCCGCTGGAATTCTGCAATTCTTAGAGGCCACGTGGGCAGAAAGCGGCGCTTTACCCGGAGCTAATTCTGTGACCACCAGCGCGTCTCTCCGGGCAGCGCCTAACCTCCAGGAAACCGGCGCTATCAATGGGTACCTCACATATGAAGGTTAAATCATTTAAATTACGTAAGAAGGTTAAACTTGTCTGCAACACGTTTTAACACCTCCATCTCAAGATATAATGAAGCCCGCCCACACTACAACCACGTTTGTGGGCCTCATACCAGCCGCGTGGCGCGGAGTGGCCTGCAACCGTGATCCCTTCACCCCCTCGACCCGACTTCCGAGGCTCGATCCTCCGGAACAACGCAGGGGCCGAAACCCCATATATGCAATGCCTCCCCTGCCCAACAAGCCCAGACGGCCTTGCCCTCTTGGCAACCTACCTAAAACCGCCTCACACCGGCCCCAACCACGCACTAGCTGCCCGTAACCCAGGCCTCGGGCCAAAACCTGCGACTGGCCTGGTGCGTGAGTCCTGGAGATTTGCACACACCACCCTTCCGATTTCAGTCCTCCAACTCCAGAAAACTAGCCGATATCCTCCAATCGCGCGGAAGAAAAGGGTGGGATATCCCCGCGGCCCAAGTAATAGTCAGGCAGAAATCTCGCGATACAATTTAGCTCCCGGGAAGAAGGCGAGCGGTGGGAGGAGACGCGACGCGGGGGCGCCATGTTTCTCGCCGCGCAGGGAGGAGCGACTAACGTGGGCGGAGCTGTAGCTCGCGTACTCTGAGGAGGCGGGGTTGGCGTAGGCGGAGATCGGGACTCCGGTGTTTTGCTTGCGTGACGGATTCGGTGAGTGGAATAGCCAAGAACATTTCGGCAAATAACAAAAAGAAAATGTGCGGTCAATTGTGAGTGGATGAGAAATGCGAGGAAACAGCCTCTCAGCCCGGGTCGTTTCCGGTGGTCTCGCGTTTGCTGAGCTGTCTAAACCTGGTCCCGAGTGTGTGGTGAGGGTGACGGGTGGGATGTGTGCCTGAGTGTTTTGTCATCCTGTGTCTACTTTTGCCTTCAAAACCCTTGTGTGTGAAAATATTCGGGAAGGTTACTCGAAGTTTCTAACCTTTGCGCTGGACGCCAGTGTTATTCCGTAGCACGCCCAGGTCTCCTCCCCACCTTTGCACCTGTTTCGGGAGCGCACCCTTTCTGCCTCCCAGGAATTGGCTAACACGTCACAAGTGAGACCTGTGGAGGATTTCTTTTTCCTAAGTTTCCTCCTACATCCCCCCGCCTCCCACCATTAGTTCCTTGACCGGTTCCTGAGTTAAGATTAAGCAGTGTAGGCCGGGCGCGGTGGCTTAAGCCTGTAATCCCAGCACTTTGGGAGGCCGAGGCGGGCGGATCACGAGGTCAGGAGATCGAGACCATCGTAGCTAACATGGTGAAACCCCGTCTCTACTTAAAAAAAAAAAAAAAAAAAAGATTAAGCAGTGTAAACTAGTTTTGGTGGGGTTTTTTTCTTCGAAAGTTTTTTGTTTTGTTTTGTTTTTTGCTTTTGTTTTTGTTTTTGTTTTGAGGCCGAGTTTCGCTCTTGTTGCCCAGGCTGGAGTGCAATGGCACGATCTTGGCTCACCACAACCTCCGCTTCCCGGGTTCAAGCGACTCTCCTGCTTCAGCCTCCCAAGTGGCTGAGATTACAGGCATGCGCCACCATGCCCGGCTAATTTTTTAGTATTTTTAGTAGACACAGGGTTTCTCCATGTTGGTCAGGCTGGTCTCGAACTCCCGACCTCAGGTGATCCGCCCGCCTCGGCCTCCCAAAGTGCTGGGATTACAGGCCTGAGCCACCGGCCTCCCAAAGAAATTTTAAAAAGGAATAAACTGGTTTGATTTTTCTGGTTTCAAACTTCTGTTTTCATAAGGTAAACCACAAAAACTAGTAAAGCTGTCTAGTCTTATTTTATAGTTAACATCATTTTAGGATAGAGCGTGCCTTAAACCCTCCTTTGCTCCATAGATTGGACAATTTCGGGGATAAAAAGTCTGACACTTCATTTGATCCACAGGGGCTGGGCAGTGACTAAGCTCCAGGACTGGTATAGCATGTCCCTCACTGCCATATTCAGCAGCAAGCCTAGCTGTGTAATTTGTGAGGCTCAATGCAAAATGTAAATGCAGCATCCCTTGTCCAAAAAGAAGGGGAAAAGTGGTATTAAAAGGCAGGAACAATTAACTCCTAATGCAGAATCACTGAAATTTCACATTTCATTTTGTATTTTTTTTTTTTTTTTTTTTTTTTTTCTTGTAAGAGACGGAGTCTTGCTCTGTCGCCCAGGCTGGAGTGCAGTGGCCCGATCTCAGCTCACTGCAACCCCCACCTCCCAGGCTCAAGAGATCCACCCATCTCAGCTTCCCAAGTGGCTGGGACTACAGGCGCCCGCCACCACACCCGGCTAATTTTTGTACTTTTAGTAGAGACCAGGTTTCACCATGTTGGCCAGGCAGGTCTCAAACTCCTGACCTCAAGTGATCCACCTGCCTCGGCCTCCCAAAGTGCTGGGAGTACAGGCGTGAACCACCGCGCCCGGCCACATTTCATATTCGTTTGTTTGTTTTATAGAGACGGTCTTGCTCTGTCACCCAGGCTGGAGTGCAGTTGAAGCAAGATATTTCTCAGACCCCTTCGCGGTTCTTGGGGCTGCGGTGTCTCCCTTTCTCAGCCTGCAGCTCTCGACTCCTCGCGGGAGGGGGCGCGCGAGTGAATGAGGTGGGAACTGGAGTGCTGGAAGCCAGGAACTCCACTCACTCAGGCCTGCTGCGCCCCACCCTTTATGGGAGGTTGCGTGGGGGTGAGCAGATGCTGGAGCCCGAGCGAGTGGTCTCCTGCAGGAGCGAACTCCATGCAGGCCGTGCGGCTGTGTCTGAGGGATGCCCGCGACTCCTGAAGACCCACAACCTGTCTCACAATCTGTCATGGTTGTGAAAAGTTGAGAGAATGTCTGCACAGTGTCTAACGGTGTCTGGTACACAGTGTGCACTCAAATGGTAACCAGTTTAGTTGCGATAGTTGGTCTACCCCTTCAGGTGTTAACCTCTGCAGCTCCATTTCCTTTCTAGACCCTATTTCTGGGCCATCGCCTCCCACCAATTAGGCAGGAAAATATTGTTTGCCTCTATCTGGCCCAAGGCTGTGTTCCTGGAGTTTATGTGAGAACCTAACCCCTTTCTCAGCTCCAACTGTAACCCTCTCCCCACCTCCAACACACACATACACGTGCTACCACACTGCCTACAGTGCCATCACCCTGCCTGAAGTTCACCTCATTTTAGGATTGGGCGGGCCTTCATAATTTAAATTTTATTATGAAAAAGTGATAGGCTAAGGAACTCATTTAATTTTTTGTCTAAATGTCAAATATAGAGTAGAAAGCTCAAATATCTGTTATAGAAATACTTGAGAGTCCTGTATGCACTGTTATCCACAACCATTTAAACACTTATCCACAAATCCCTAGTAAGGACCCCTAATAAGTACATTTCTAAACCAGTTATTCAAGCTACATCCTCCCAGGATTGGACTTTGTTTCTACTTTGGTAGGGGCATAAATAAACAGAAACAACTGACCTAACTTTTTACTAAAGAAAAGAGATAATAAAGGGAATACAATTAAGATTACATTTGGATTTTAACTTGTGTTTTTATTCCTACTGCCAGCAAAAATATCTAAAGTGCTTTTATTATCATTATAAATGAATATACTACTCATTGTGCAGATTTTGACGTGTTCATAAATAAGTACCCAATGTTTGTTTGATAAAGAATGTGATAAAATGTTAACATTTGGGAAATCTGGTGAAGAATATACAGGAATTATTTGTATGTAATATCTGTTAATCTGAAATTATTTAAAAGAAAAAGTTAAACTGTCTCATTCCTGAACAATTATAAATTATTCAACCCAAAACTGAAGGGGGCCTGCCCCTCCACTCGTGTGGGTATTTCTTGTCAGGTGGGACAAGAGACTGAGAAAAGAAATAAGACACAGAGACAAAGTATAGAGAAAGAACAGTGGGCCCAGGGGACCGGCACCGGCACTGGTCTCCGAGTTCCCTCAGTATTTATTGATTACTATTTTCACTGTCTCGGAAAGGGGAGTATGACAGGACAACAGGGTGATGGTGGGGAGAAGGTCAGCAGGAAAACGTGAGTAAAGGAATCTGCGTCATAAATAAGTTCAAGGGAAGGTACTGTGCCTGGACGTGTACATAGGCTGGATTTATGTTTCTCTTTACCCAGACATCTAAGTGTAGCAAAGAGTAACAGAGCAGTATTGCTGCCAGCATATCTCCCCTCCAGCCACAGCATGGTTTTCTCCTGTATCAGAATAGAACGAATAGTCGGCTTTACACGGAGACATTCCGTTCCCAGGGATATGTGGGAAACAGAGGCCTTCCTCTTATCTCAACGGCAAAGAGGCCTTCCTCTTTTACTAATCCTCCTCAGCACAGACCCTTTATGGGTGTGGGGCTGGGGGACGGTTAGGTCTTTCCCTTCCCACGAGGCCATATCTCAGGCTGTCTCAGTGGGGGGAAACCTTGGACAATACCCAGGCTTTCTCGGGTAGAGGTCCCTGCAGCTTTCCGTGGTGCATCATGTCCCTGGTTAGTAGAGAATGGAGAATGGCGATGACTTTTACCAGGCATACTGTCTGCAAATATATTGTTAACAAGGCACATCCTGCACAGCCCTGAATCCCTTAAACCTTGATTCAATACAGCACATGTTTCTGTGATCACAGGGTTGGGACTAAAGTTACAGATTAACAGCATCTCCAATCAGAACAATTTTTCTTTGTACAGATCAAAATGGAGTTCCTTTTGTCTTCCTTTTCCGCATAGACACAGTAACAGTCTGATCTCTCTTTTCCTCACACAAAACTATGTTTAAAATAATTTAAGTATGATTATGTAAGATTCGGGGGCCGGGCGTGGTGGCTCACGCCTGTAATCCTAGCACTTTGGGAGTCCGAGGCAAGTGGATTGCTTGAGCTCAGGAGTTTGAGACCAGCCTGGGCAACATGGTGAAACCCCGTCTCTACTAAAATACAAAAAATTAGTCGGGCGTGATGGCACACGCCTGTAATCCCAGCCACTAGGGAGACTGAGACAGGAGAATCACTTGAACCTGGGAGGCGGAGGTTGCAGTGAGCCAAGATGGTGCCATAGTGCACTCCAGCCTGGGTGACAGAGCGAGACTCCATCTCAAAAAAAAAAAGAGATTTGGGACGCTTTATAAACAGTTATATATATTTGGGAGATTAGATTACATATATTAAATCAAGAACAATAAAAGCTGGTATTTGATAAAGTACTGAAGTAAATGTAACATCCTAAATGTATGTAATAGAATGGTTATAGAGGATATGTTGTTGAAAAGTACTGGAACTAGAAACCCAGTTTCTAAACAACCTACGAATCTTTGGAAAATTAGAAAAAAAAATTTAGAAGAATATTTCAGATGACTGAAGATCACCTTTCCACTTGCTAAATAGGCATGTTAAGGGCAGAGGCCACTCAGATTAATGAAGTGTTCTATTAACAATTTTAATGAGAACTCCTGCAGTACTCTTAGAAACACCCTTAAGAGTCTTGTCTGTGTTCCCTGTTGTGATTGGCCTGGAGTAGGATACCTGTCTACCTCATATTACTTGTATTTTTCCCTGCCTTCATTTTATCTCCCTCTGGTTGCACACTTCATCACTGAACACTTAAGGTAAGATACTAATCTCTGTGTATGTGTACTTATTTGTTACAAAGTATACTTGGCATATATTTTATTTTTTAGTTGCAATGATAGAAAAGCATATATTTAACTATCAAATTATAATTGGGTAGATTATCAGAATTGAACATTAAATCTGTTTACCACGAAAGTATATTTATTTGTAAATGAAAATAAAAATTTGAATTTCAAAGGCTAATCATTCCATAAAAGTTTCCATTCGTATTTGTAATTTAAATTTTATTTTGACAAAATGATAGTCTAAGGAGCTCATTTAATTTTTGGCCTAAATGTGAAATATAGAATAGAAAACACATATCTATTATAGAAATACTTGCGATCCTATATGTACTGTACAAATCCTATATGTACTATTATCTACAACCATTTAAAAACACTTATCCATAAACTCCTAATAAGTACCTTTTGCTTCAAGACCTATATTCCTTAGACCAACCATTAGAAAATTGGATGTTCACTCCAGCTATATGATTTTAAAAAAGAAAATGAATTGGCTGGGAGCAGTAACTCACACTTGTAATCCCAGCATTTTGGGAGGCAGAGGTGGGAGGATCGCTTGAGACCAGGAATTCAGGATCAGCTTAGGCAACATAGCAAGATCGTGTTTCTATTAAAAAATTAGTTTTAAATTTTAAATTAAAATAAAATAAAGTATAAGTATTAAAAGGTCACTTGTCTGTTTCTCACTTGGAATATTAAATACTAGAAGCTGTGTTTGCCTTTTTGTGAAGATAGAAACCTAAATGCCCTTTTGTTCTGTTTATATGTTTGAATGCTAAAGGTTCATTTCCAAAACAGAAGCAGTTCATACTTGGTGCACTGTGGACTCTTGTGATAATTAACCAAGAGTAACTCTATTTGTCCAACCTCACACCTAAAGAAGAAAGAAAATGACTTGTGCTGAGTTTTCTTTTCATGTACCAAGTCTAGAAGAGCTTGCTGGAGGTAAAAACAATATTAACTTTGGATTTTTAAAAATTATCCCAAGAGAAAATTCTTTTAAAAAGATTCTAAGATCTATCTGTATCTTACTACTTACCTATATCTGTATCTTACTTATCAAAATAATACTTTTGGTATGGAATTCATTTTCCATTTCAGTTTCTGTTCTGTCCCATTTTTATTGAGAAAATCCAAAATTCTGTCCCTCCAAAAAAACTAAAATTATAATTTATAAATTCTTTTTTCTTTCACTTATAGATTATTGATGATACCAACTTTACAAGATGTAAATGATTAGTAATCCAAGACTTAAGCATGTGTGATGCCCAAAGAGTTGCACAATTTTGCTTTACTTTTTTCACTTACATTATTCTTTAAATGTATATTCTACTGTTGTATGTTAATCGTATTCCCAATATAATTCCCCCACACCACTGATAATGACAGACTGCCAGTGAACTTGCTTTGATTTCTCTCTGTGTTTATTTTTATATATTTCACCTTGTTCAAACAAGTATTTAAGGCAGTTTCCCAAGATAAATTAGGAGGGAAGATAGGCAAAAAAAAAGGAAAACAAAAACGGGCACACAAAATGAAGCCAGGAATAGTTCTTATCCAAAACTGTAAAGTCTGTCAGAATACCAACCTTTATTTGACAACCTCTAGGTTCTGTTCTGATGGTAACTATATACCTTCCCTTGTTTCTCAAAATGTGTTGTTCTGGTAGTTCGTTTGTCATCCTGATAAGGTCGAAGTCAAGAAATAGACTCATTTTTGCTTTGTTGTAACTTTTTTTATAATCTTATAATAATCTTATAATCTTTTTTTCCCCCCAATTGAATGGTAGCTAGTAAACAATCTGTATTGTTTGGCCTGTATTTCTTTTTCATCAATCTGTCTTCCCTAATATGACAGGGTAGCTAGGAATTTTTTCTTTTTCTTTTCTCTTTTTGTAGACATAGGATCTTGCCCTATTGCCCAGGATGCTCTTGAACTCCTGACCTCACTTGATCCTCCTGCCTCGGCCACCCAAAGTGTTGGGATTATAGGCATGAGCTACCATGCTTGGCCAGATTTTTTCTTTTATTACTTTTCTAGAACCTGTTTTCACTTTTGTGTTTGTTTCTCTTTTCCTTCTATATGTGCAGGATATATTCAGTAAAAGTAGAAATTTTATGGCCTGGTACAGTGACTCATGCCTGTAATCTCAACACTTTAGGAGGCCGAGGTGGACAGATCACTTGAGGTCAGGAGTTCAAGACCAGCCTGGCCAACATGGCAAAACCCCATCCCTACTAAAAATACAAAAATTAGCTGGGCGTGATGGTGTGTGCCAGTAATTCCAGTTATTCAGGAGTCTGAGTCACAAAGAATCACTTGAACCCAGGAGGCAGAAGTTATGTTGAGCCAAGATCGTGCCACTGTACTTCAGCCTAGGTGACAATGTGAGACTCAGTCTCAAAAAAAAAAAAAAAAAAAATTGACCAGGTATGGTAGCTCATGCCTGTAATCCTGGCACTTTGGGAGGCCAAGGCGGGTGGATCACCTGAGGTCAGGAGTTCGAGACCAGCCTGACCAACAAGGTGAAATCCAATCTCTACTGAAAACACAAAAATTAGCTGGACGTGGTGGCAGGCACCTGTAGTCCCAGCTACTCAGGAGGCTGAGACAGGAGAATTGCTTGAACCC